CCCCCCGAATATAAGTCCCCCAAATATAAGGCCCACTACGTTATTCAACATTGACATTGTCTTTTAATATAGCAGAACGATATTTAAAGACATTGTCATTGTCTTTATAGCTTACTATGTTAATCAAAGCACATTATTAATCATGTTTATGTTCCTGTTTATGACTGACTTGTTTATGTCTGACTTGTTTATTACTAGTTAACACAAAAGATTGTCTATGTACCCCCCCCGTATATAAGCCCCCCCCCTTGTATAAGCCCATCAAAAATCGCTTACGACAGTATATAAGCCCAGGGCTTATAGTCGGAGGTTTACGGTATAAACTTTATAACCACATACATATGTTATATATTGTTACATTATATATAGAAACAACATAATCATTTATTAAGTCATGATAAAAATATGAAATGGGCTATTCCAATTATTATCCGCACCCCCCTATTGAGGAACCTTGGAATTTCCAGGGGAGGAGTGTATTAACCTTGGAATTTCCAGGGGAGGGGGTGCATTAACCCTGGAAGTTCCAGGGAAGGGGGCATTCAGGCTCTGGATTTCCAAGGGGAGGAGTAATTCTCACATGGAATTTCCAAAGGGAGGGGTAAATTTGATGGGATGGAAATTCCATGGGAGGACATATGTTAGCGGGAAATTTCCGGGAGTAAATGTCCCATGATGGAAATTCCATAGGGAGGGGTAATTTACACATGGAAATTCCATGGACAGGGCCAAATTTTAAATGGAAATTCCATGGGGAAGGCCTAATTTAGAATGGAAATTCCATGGGGAAGGGTAATTTTTACAAGGAATTTCCATGGGAAGTGGTAAATTTTACATGAAAATTTGCGGAAATTCCAGGGGAGTACCGACATGAGAAAGGGGTTCCTCAACAGGGGGGGTGCGGATAATAATTGGAATAGCCCAATTAATACTGTTTCGACATAAGTCGAAAGTTTTAATGTAATCATTTTAAATGTTACCCATGAAGCCAACCACGTCACAGTTTATTTAGAACATATACGTTCGTGTTTTATTATTCTAATCATGTGTCTCTAGTATTAAATATACAAAATTATAAATTTTTTATATCATAGTACGTAAGTACAATATGTATGTATACAGTACAGTATAAAAAAACACATCCATTCGCGTTTTACTTACTATATTTCCTCCAAGAGATTATTTGCATTCTGTAAGAAGACTAAAAGTTCTCGATATAGCCCAGTTTCATTCAATTTTAAAGATAGAAAATCCGACTGTTTGGTGAAATGTCTATTCAATTCCTTCGCGCACATTGTTTACACACAAGCATTCACGCATATTGACATGCGAATTCCACGAAACCTGTGGGACTATCTTCGGCGTTCGGAAATCAATCTTTGTAGCGAATTTCCGAAGGCACCTTGGTTTGACGGATGTCCGATTGCGCATTCCAACCAACCCCTTGGTGTGAACAAACTTGGGGAAATGATGAAAAGCATTTCCATTGGAGCTGAACTCTCCAAAGTTTACACAAACCATTCCCCGTTAGAGCATCCGCCATAACTTTACTTTCCAGCACCAATGTTCCAGATCGCCACAGTAAATATGAAACGATCACTCACAACAGTTAGCAATTCGGCGAGTGTCAATACATCAATCACAGATGAGACCTTGAACACAAGTGCAAACGTCTCCCTATAAATGTCAAGTTTTCCAGCGGGTTTTTCACTTCCTGCAACATTCAAGTGATGCTCAAAATCACCACAACAGCTCAGAACAGAACAATTGAGTTTCGATCACACGGTTTTAACCGTTTAAATAATTTAAATGTGTTTCATACGAAACGAGGAATATTCATATTGAGTATAGAGGTTCTCTGGTTAAAATATTTATTTTTTACAAGCTTCTTCAACGGGTAGATTATAATGAAAGTGATGCGAGGTTTACAATTACATATACGGTATACACAATGACGTAAATGACAGCTATACAAGATTATAGTGGCTATGTTACATGGGAATGATTAATGTTTAATGTTTAATTTATTAATGATTAATGTTTGCAATAAACATTAATCATTCCTGTGTAACATAGCCACTATAATCTTGTGTAGCTGTAGTTTACGTCATTGTGTATACCGTATATGTAATTGTAAACCTTGCATCACTTTCATTATAATCTACCTGTTGAAGACTGTAGACAGACATTTTGCAATGATATTTGCAAAATTTCGACTTTTTCAAATTTCCAAAATGTTTTGGTGGATAAAAAGTACACTATTCACTTGTTTAATAGGGAATTTTTTCAATTTTATCATATAAAACAAATAGATTACATTTTTCTGTTGTCTGTTCAGTTATAGATACACAGTATGGCGTTATATGTGGTAAGAACAAAAAGTGACCACTCGCCTAGGTGGCTGGTGGACACTTTTTGTTCTTACCACATATGACGTCATACTGTGTATCTATAACTGAGCAGACAATGGGAAAATGTAATCTATTTGTTAAGTAGCTAATACAAACTAATAAAAATTAAAGTACAATTAAAGAGGAAAAGAAAGAGAGATAAAAAGGACAGAAAACTATGAATTTTAATAAGTATTCTTTTAGTCTTTGTCTAAAACAGGAAACATATGACTGAATTAAACAATTTTACACAATGATTTTAAAAACACATTCTGTTGTCCGATTTTGTATTACTGTGGATCCTTATTAAACATATAACCTTTCCATGGGAAATTTGGAATGGATGTATGCTGCACAATACATATGACACATGAAGAATATGTAGTTTAATTTTTAAAAGGTACAAGTTCAAAACATTTTTGAATACATTTCTTCATTTGTTTAAGAATGTATGATATAAAAATACACATATATATATTGTGAATATTTGTAGATGTAGAGTGTCTTATCAATTCTTTGTAACAGGATTTATGGTCATTTAGACTCATTACAAATGTGCCACTCTTAAATATTTTTTGTTCCTTTTAGATCCCTTTGTGTTGGTAATCTCTCTATTGGAAAATTTAACTGCATAGTAAATACGCATTCTGACAAAAACGTTTGCACAAAAAGGAAACTTGGAACTCTTCACATGAACCATGTCTGAATTTTAGCAATGCTGTCACAATACTTTTTACAATGCCAGTGGCCTTTGTCATAGAATTGGTAAATTTTTTGATGAATATGTTCTCACATTTAGTTATGTACTCTACAAATGAACGTACTGGAACTATGAGAGAACCGAATGGTATCATTGTATGCTTTGTAGTGGCAAAACGTCTGATCGAAATCATCAAGGTCAGACTGGATGAGATCCTTGCTGCAAACTTTACAAGGATGCTGTTGGAGGCACTTCCTTAATAACCAGCAACATATGTAATGGTTGTACTTCAAATGGATTTGGCAAATGGAGCCCCTCTCATCTGTACCTTGCTCTTGTGTTTTCTTGATTTGTGAACAACCAATCAAGATGTTTGTGTGATGTTACTCTGAGTGTATATCCACACCGGGCAGGCTTGAAAAATATGCCTGGCCACGGCGGCCTGCCCGGTGTGGATATACACTCAGAGTAACATCACACAAACATCTTATTGAAGCCTGCCCGGTGTGGATATACACTCAGAGTAACATCACACAAACATCTTATTGAAGCCTGCCCGGTGTGGATATACACTCAGAGTAACATCACACAAACATCTTATTCACCTGAGTACATTACACCAACACAGCAGATTTCATAAACCAATCAAGATGTTATCTAGATCTGCAGTACAGTTCCCATTTCACACAAGCAGGTATTTATTAAAGAACAACTTTCTGAAAGATCTGGTAGACTGAATGGGAGTGGGGTTTCCACAATATCTACCTTGCTGTTGAATACTGCCAAAAAATATTCAAGAGGGTCTTGATTAAGGTGTCGCGTGCATAGGAGTTTGATGGATGAGCAGGATGATTGTATTGAATTCCATAACACAGTTGTGGTGTTTAAGTGTCATCTCCAAAGCCTTCAAAAGCACTTCAAACTATTTGTCACATCTTTGCCATTTATTGGATTTTTCACACTATTGGATTTGACAAATGAACACATCTGGCCCATGAATTTGCAATGATCCAATTTTTATGTGATTGGGCGATTGTGTGGTTTCTGACTTTTAAAAGACAAGCTGTTTAGGCAATCAAAGATCTCATCAAACTTGGCCACAAATTCTGCTGTTCCAGCTGCAGATGGAAGGAGAAAATTACTGCTTACTGCCATCAGCATTGCTGCAGAGACAGTGTGACTCAACACCTGAGTGACCAACTTGACCTTCATTTTCTCAAAATTGTTTGGGGAAATATGTTTTTTGAGTCGATGTTTTTGGATTTTTTGAGTCGATGTTGTAGAGAGTGCTAATATATTTCCATGATGCCACTTTACTCTCAAAATGAAAATTGTTATTTCTCACTGCCTTAATTATGTGGGGTGGATCGATAATTAAAAAAAAATTTCCCATTGTGTAAGAACCATGGCTTTCCTATTGCCACACCCATTTCTCTCAGTAACGTATGAAAATTTGATCGAATATCACAAATCACAGCCACAATGTCCACACCAATTCCTTCTACTTTATCAATTATTTCTTCTAACTTTTCTCTGACTTTTTCACTGCTGCAGGACTCATTCACTAGATAGTATGCCAATGGTTGCTTCTAGTTATGTACAACCCCTCAAGCCATGAACATAATAGCAGATGTTGCCAACCTGTCAGTTTTGATCCTATTGCCAAAGTCCTCCAGGCCAAAAAGTTCATCTGTGTTGCTCTGATAAAAGACACAAGATTTGAGAGACATCTCATTGACCCTCATTGAATGAAATAATGCACTTCTTCCCCTGATCAGATATGGTATTAAGGATTTGTATTTGGGATTCTATAAATTTTACAATACGAGAGGTAGGATTTTTTCTTTATATGTGCCAATTGCTTGTTGCATGTTGTGACACTTCTTTTTGGGATTGACTCTCTTTTTCAGACGGTGGATTTGCTGGGGGTTTTTTTATGATCTGACAATGTTTTCTTTTTCTGGGATTCTTCTGACTTTTCCACACCTTTCTACATTATAGTGTGTTTGTACAATACTGTATAAAATATTGGATATGCGACATATATA